AGTCATACAAGCAACCAGAGCCACAGTATGACAACAACGCCTATACTCTCACTTCTATATACCATGGAGGACAGCTTAAGATGTACACCACTCATCCCATACCACCAGTGGTTACTGGTGGGCAGCCTGGCTTCGTCATGACGCAGATTAAAACTTGGGGTATGACAGGGGATGCGGACACATTTCGGCAGGGGGCAGCTGCGTTTCGGAACGGAAGAGACTGGGCCAAGCGCGAACGAGACAAGGCAATCAAAGAGGCGAATGACAGGGTAGCTCATGACCCAGTTTCTATAACCTCGGGCGATGCCTTAGGTTCGAGTTTCGGAAGTGATGTATCCGCCTGCGACACAATTGTCACCAGTCAAGAAACGATTTTGAACCCTCCTCCCCATGGTCTACCAATCTATGAGTCTGAAACGTCTGCCGACGAACTGTCTCTAGATCATCCGCCCCGCATCAAGCGTACCAAGTCGCCGCAAAAGAAGCCTTTTGGTTAAATCAACGTTAGCATTGTTCTATGAGTGCGGTAATAGTTTTCTGTGCAGAGTTAAGAACAGCGTGTAACGAACTCCATCACATGTCACGTCTTATCAAGCTTAGAAGCAATCCAGGTTCCTGATTAGTTTTCGCTCCGCCATGCTCGTAGACGGCGTTTTCAAGCTCTGATAACTGACGGTGCTGACGAGATACATTCGTGCCTTGGATGGTTGACCCTTTGTCGCCTTCATCGTTGGGGGCATCCGTACATATGCCCCTCCACTACTTAAGGTGTCGGTTCTAGATCGGGTTTCAAAATCGTAACCAGGATCAGAGACGTCATCATCTACGGGCTCACATAGAAAATCCTGATTATTTCGAGACTCGGTTTGCTGGCCAAGCGCACCTTGACGACTCTCCGGCCATGCAACAAGATGCTCCTATCCCTGCCTTGGGATCGTCACAACTCAACACGGACTTCACTTTCAGGCCACGACCGCAGAATAAGGACCTGCAATATGTCCAACGAAGCAAGAGCCCATCAAGAGGACCTCCAGACGGTAGAGTCGAACACGTGGAAGCAGCCAGACCAGAAGCTGC